CAATATAAAGTCCAAAGAGAAGAAGTGTTGATGAGATCTCAAATGATCTCAGGATGTCCAGTGATGCGGACCGTGGATCTGGTGATAAATAATAATGAGATTGCGCACTCACCAGATACGCAATTCAAATGCACATAAATAGTAGTAATCCTCTGGTCATCCAGATATCATCAAAACAGGTCTGGTCAGATCTGGTCAGGTTAATCCTCACTCCCTGGCGGTGTTAGCACTCATGGGGGGTCATCACGCAATGGATACAGCCTGCTCGCATGGGGTCTCCTCACAAGGGATGCAGCTGGTTCTGCAAACGTGATCGGCTTCCAAAGGAGCTCAAAGAAACAGAGGAGCCCACATAGTGCAGTATCTTTAAGATAGTTTTATTCCATATATGGAGTGTAAAAGCAGTGAGGAATAATAACAAAATTACTGACTATGAGAGTGAATAAGATGGCCGCCAGGGCCCCTCGTGGCGCTGGCGGCGTAGCGTCACACCTGCTGCAGCTCTGCCCTGACACGTTTCGAGCAACTGCTCGTAGTCATAGGGGTTCAGCTGTCCGCATCACTGGACATCCTGAGATCATTTGAGATCTCATCAACACTTCTTCTCTTTGGACTTTATATTGAGTCAACACCCTTTAGCACCTTGACCACCATTTAGTGACCTATGTATTTGCACCTTGTCACTTTATATATACATTTTATTGACTTTTGACATCGTTGAGTTTATTAGCGCTGCACCCCCTCTTTGCATAAATTCAAAGTATAACTTATGCCAAAACCAAATTTTCTTGCTTTTTGAGTGGGAAAAGGTGAACACCACGTTTTTGTTCTAGTTCTCATTGGAGAGGTCCAACCTCACTATTTGTCTTAGTGACCAATTTCTTCAGGAAAAGAAGTAAAAGGGAATGCAAAATATCTGATTTTCACAGAAGCTTTAACTTTCACTATAAAAATCACTTAGAGTGATTCTAAAGGCTTTTTTTTTTTTTTAGATAACAAACATGTCTATACTTACCTGCTGTGTGCAGTGGTTTTGCACAGAGCTGCCCCAATCCTCCTCTTCTTAGGTACCCTGTTGGTGCTCCTGGCCCCTCCCCTCCTATCGGGTGCCCCCACAGCAAGCAGCTTGCTATGGGGGCACCCGCTTCTCTGTGTACCCATTCACCACGGAGCCGCAGCTAGGCCCCACCCTCTCTCTCTTCTCATTGGCTCACTGGCTGTGATTGACAGCAGTGGGAGCCAATGGCTCCTGCTTCTGTCTCAGCCAATGAGGAGAGGGAGTCCCAGGGTAGCAGACACTGCAGTGCACATCGCTGGATCGAGAGGGGGCTTTGGTGAGTATTGGGGGGGGCTGGGGGGGATGCTGCACACAGAAGGTTTTTTAATTTCTTGCATAGAATGCATGAAGGTGAAAAACCTTGAGCCTTTTCAAACACTTTAATACAGTAGGGACATCTAAGTCTGCAATCATCCTTAAGGGTAACAAGACAGTACAATAATACCCTCCAGACAACAGGGGGTTTATTTACTAAAGCTGGAGAGTCCAAAATCAGACTCCCTTCTGCATAGAAACCAATCAGCTTCCAGGTTTCATTGCCAAAGCTTCATTGAACAAGTTGAGGTTAGAAGCTGATTGGTTTCTATGCAGAAGGGAGTCTGATTTTGGACTCTCCAGCTTTAGTAAATAAACCCCCAGGTGTCAAGCTGCAGCCCTTCAGCTGTTGAAAGACTACAAGTCCCGTCATACTTCTACCTTTGGGAATGCTTGTAACTGTCATATTCTTTAATTTATTAGAAATAATATAAAATACAACGTTCTGAATAAGGCAACATGTATGAATACAAAGGGAAATAGGTGACCATGTATTGAACAATTTATGCCCAGACGCTGGGAGGCCGCACATTTGCATTTGGCTGGCGTGAAGAGGTTAAAGTCTAAAGGAAAGGTCTGATGGGTAGCCAGTGCAAAATTGTGTACATATTGTAGTTGATTAATGGTAGATTTAGGTACACCAGCGAGTAGAGCATTGAAAATCCCAATAGATCAGCAGTTTTTGAAATACTCAGACCAGCCCGTCTGGCATCAACAACCATGCCACGTTCAAAGTCACGTAAATCCCCTTTCTTGCCCATTTTGATGCTCTGCTTAAACTACAGCAAGTCATCTTCACCAGATTTAGATACCTAAATGCATTGAGTTGCTGCCATATGATTGGCTGATTAGCCATATGTGCTACCAAGCAATTGAACAGGTGTACCTAATAAAGTGACCGTTGAGTGTATATCTGAGTGTCATCAGCATAGAAGTGATAACTGAGCCCATGTATTCTAAGCAGTTGGCCAAGTGGAAACATGTAGATGCTAAAAAGTAAAGGACACAGAGTTGAGCCCCGAGGAACCCTGAACTTGACTGGAACAACTTCAGACTGGAATCCGACAAGAAAGACAAAGTGATTGCGATCAGTAAGATATGACTTGAACCATTTAAGAGTCGATTCTGAAACTCTAAAAACGGTTTTAAGGTGAGAGAATAAAAGACTGGTCTACAGTTTTAAAGGCAGGACTTCCCCTAGATCTACATTGGGCTTCACATGATTTAGAGGTCTGACAAGGAGCTTTCCACTCAGGTAGCACTAATTGGGGTACAAAAAACAATATGAACAGAGAATTCACAAGAGAAAAGCGGTTACATAAAGGACAATGCGATACTCAAAATTGTAATCAAAATATGCTTTTATTAGCAAAATTGCAATATGAGACAATTGAGTAATGAGAATTGTCTCATATTGCAATTTTGCTAATAAAAACATATTTTTATTATGATTTTGAGTATCGCATTGTCCAATATGTAACCGCTTTTCTCTTGTGAATTTTCTGTTCACATTGTTTTTTTGTAGGCTTTCTTGGTTATTAACCAATACTTATACCTATTACTTTTGATGCCTCCATTTATATGGTTATTAACCTGTAGGCTCTGCATGTTGGCAATGTTGAACCATTAGACAACAGCATTAAACAATAATATTGGGTTGCAACAATGCAAAGGTCACACGTCAATGATGTCACTGTTGGATAAAACTTTTATTCAGCCACAGACAGCTGCGACCAAGCCCATTGGAGTGAAATGCGTCAACCAGGGCTCTGGTTCCTAGTTTGGGACTTGCTGCTGGTTCCCTGCGGCTGAATAAAAGTTTTATCCTGAAGTGACATCATTGGAAAGGATGGGCTCTCATTTCGGCACCTAGTATCTCTGTGCAGAACAAGGAGCACTTAGCACCCGAAGCTGGGCTGCTTTTTATGGATCATCTACCAATAATATTGAGTGTCATAGGCCTAAGGCTCAGGATGCCTGCTTGAAGACCTGGACCATATGCCCCAGTTGCCTCAGCTTATTGATACTTTTTGTTTTCTTGCTTCACACTAGTTCAGTGTGTGTTTTACCATTTTAAGGTAAGTATTTCACAAAATTCAGAGAACTAAGATATTGTGTTTATTTTCTGCAAACAAAATGCCTAGAAATTGAGAAAAAAAGACTGGGAGAACTGTGCATTAATGAAAGAAAATCTAGCCCTAGTTGACAACAAGCTGTCTATTTTGTCCCTGTACAGACTAGGTAATCCAATGGTATTTCTGCCATCTGATAATTACCTGTAGAACAAAGGCAGTGTGGAGACACCTGTACCCCTGGATGCATGGGTTAGCACAGTCCTCATTAAAATGTTATGGTCTGTGCACTCATTTTTCCATAGACCGCATAAATTCTGCAGAGTTTGAAGTGTATAAACATATATCTATGGCAGCCATAAACTTATTGAATATTTTAAAGTGTTATACATAAGGCATTCTAGGTAAAATGTTAGAATATTCCAGATTTGTTTGCCAAATGCTCTGTTTGAGATCACTATATAGTTACTCATATCAACCAATCAGATATCATCTTTCATCAGTTTAGATCAGGAATAATAATTAATAAATTATTCCATATTGGTTGCTACTGACAGCCAAATCTCATTTGTTGAGGCCCTAAAATGCCAGGACAGTATAAATACCCCCCAAATGCCCCCTTTTAGAAAGCAGACAGTCCACGGTATCTAAGAGAGGCATAACAAGTTTTTTGAAGTTGCAGTACAGCTTCATCCCATGACTGGTGTGGCAGTGATCAGGGGTACTGAATGGTGACATTATGCAAAAATAAATAAATCATTTTTATAAAATTTTGTTCATTTATTTATTTACATTTTTACTTTTTTTGCAATTTTTTTTTTTACATAATTTCATGAGAGTAGTTCAGTGTCACCATAGGGTCACCATAGTGACACTGTACTACTCTGGGAGAGATGATTAGGGATTTTTTTGAGTTGTTCTACAACACAGCGGTTACAGGAGCTGAGCGTTGCAAGCCCCAGGGGGCACGACAGGACAACGTATATTTTAGTTGCTGAGCCTGCTGTGCCACCCGTCCACAGTAAAAGTACTGTTGGCAGGCAGAAAGTGGTTACAGAGCAGAAAATGTAATTTACTTAACATATGAGGAGGTTGTGGTTTTAATATACATGTTAACTGCATATGACTGCATATAATTATGAATACCAAAACATAACATACATTATAATAAACCTATACTTACAGTGGTATTAAACACAAAAAAACAAAAATGCAATATATTGCAATTTACCAATCCATAAACTAGGTGGCTGCATTAGTTTTCTTTTTTAAGGCATTGTCCATTATTTGCACCTGATGATCTGACCAGTAACACACTTCCTTTCCTAGGGTGTCTCCACTCTGGATGGAGAAACAACAGAGACAACCTTGGACAGCAGCATTGTAAATCTGGGAAGAGGGTTGTGTTAGATGAGCAAATGTAAATGCTTTATACTAGCAAATTAAAGCCAAACTCTGGCTAACATTTTTAAAGCAGTTACAGAAAACAGTATTTTTTCATTTTGGATAAAAGTTTTACATAAATGAATAAAGGTTGACCATTATAAGCATCCCTACCAGAGGCGGACTGACCATCCGAGCACTCGGGCACCGCCCGAGGGCCCGGGGTCAGTAGGAGGCCCCATAAAATGCCCCTGGTACCTTTTATAGGCTTTTTTGGGTGTGATTTGAGTGTGGGCAAGGACACAGGGGCCCCATGATCCCCAATTGCCCGGGGGGCCCCATGAGTTGTCAGTCCGCCTCTGATCCCTACTAGTGGTAAATGGTTTGTCTCAACCTCTAATTGTCTCTTTTGCAGAATAACTTGGCCTGTTGAAGGAGGTAAAGTGGTAGTAAACCCAAAATCAATCATTATATGCGGTGGCTGCAAGGATGATGATGACCAGGAGTGGTCTGAGTTACTCAAATGCAATGGCTCTTTTACAAAGGTTAACATCTTCCTTTCTGGATTGTGGTGCCTAGAGTAGACTGTGAGCTCATTATCTGTTACTGTTCACAGCTTGGCTTTTATGCCAAGTTATGGAGACTTCATCCACCAAAGGCCTTAGCTAGGTATGTTCAGAGCATTTCCATTCCTACCCTGTCCTTGGCTGATCATAGAAATTTGGATGCTCCTATTACACTGGAGGAGCTGCAAAGGGTGACCTGTTCCTTTCCCACCTTCAAAGCCCCTGGGGATGATGATATTCCAATGGAGGTGTATAACCACTATGGAAAGCTTCTGCAGTTGTTGGAAGTGTTCAAGCATCTACCTGCATCAATGTCTCAGGCTAATGTGGTTTTGCTTCTTAAGCCGGGTAAGGTCCCTGTTGACCCAGGTTCTTAAATATGAAATATCATTACTATAGTTTATTGCACTTTTTCTTATCATCATTGCTCCTATTCAGGGGCGGACTGACAACTCATGGGGCCCCCGGGCAATAGGGGATCATGGGGCCCCTGAGTCCTTGCCCAAACTCAAAAAAGCCTATGAAAAAGGTAGAATGGGCATCTCATGGGGCCCCCTACTGACCCCGGGGCCTCGGGCAGTGCCCGAGTTTCCAAATGGTCCTATTGCTTCTAATGTCCTATGTATTCACAGTAAAGTTTGCAATATACCCAAGACTGGGCTGATGTGTCTGCAAAATTGATGGCAGCAGGTGTATAGGTGCAGAAAAGGGGCCTTCAATCTATGCTGCCTAGGCAGTACTCAGCTCATAGTAGCAGACCCTCTGTCCTTTTGCAATATAGAAATGGTGAACTAAACACAAGAAATGCTCAGCATTGGAAGGCAGCACATAAGGCACGCTTGCCTTCTTTCTCTGCCTGCTGACGCTTTTTCTTGGACGGCTTGGTCTCCCTGCACATACAAGAATCTTGCTAATCTTGGGGGAATTATGCATCTAAACAATGGTTATATTATATATCAGTGACTAGTGTTGGAGTAGTGAACACAAAGGGAAATTTATTCTGGGAATGGTGATGAAGGTTACACTTTGGTATTTTCACCTTGGGTGCTAAGGATCCTTGGTCTGGCATTTAATATACCAAATGCACAGTGATTTCTAACAAAACTTTTGTACAAATCCTCTTTAAATTAATGAATACAACTATGGGTTCACTGGTCAATAGCATATCATTCAGGATAAGATGTCACAACCGTTAAAATTGGATCCTGTGAAATGCCACGGGAGAATGTGGATTTCAGCTTGTCTGCATTTTTGACCTGAATAACATCAATATGGTCAGTGAACAATAGGTAAGTCAGTCTGTACACATCATACGGGTTTTCATTACAAAGACTGATCCACCAAGCATATCACTGCCAGAGGAATCTTCCTTCTCCGAGTGACAAGAAGATAATTAGGGTAGGGTTAGTTTTAGGAAAAAATGTCATGTAGAACAGCCTGTAGAGGAAAATAAAAGTCTTCAGAGGGAAAGTGTGCCCAAAGTTCAAATTTTAATGAGAAATTTTGACATCTACAAAGACTGCTGTGCTTTCTTTACTGAGCAATATGACTGTTATGAAGAAGGAGGTGGATGAAGGATGGTAAAATACACTGTTTTATCTTTAATTGCTCATTTACAAAGCCTCATCTTTAGCGTGCATTCATTTCATGTGATTCCACACATTTTTTGTTTCAAATGAAACAAACCAAACTAACCATTAGCACAAAAATAGAAAGCTTTAATGTGTAGCGCTGTTGGGAAAACAATTTTTATATATTTTAAAACACAATATAGTAAATGTTTCTGATATCGATTAAACCATCCACATCTTGGAGAATGCTATATGTGTTGACATTATAAAGGAGAGGAACAGCACGACACAGCATCTTAAAAAGGGACTGCTAGCTGGTCACTACATGCAATGGAATGAAAGGGAAACAACAATTGGCACATGTAACCCATTGAAATGTTATTACTTGTAAAACATTAAGATGGGCATTAGATGGTGGTGGCCAGCCATTCAGGGTCACTCACATGTACACTTGTATGTTGAATAGCAGGACTCAGCTGGTGAGCAGGGTGGTCAGGGACTACATTTCCAGGGAAGGGTAGTGTGTGGGCGAGGGTATATAAATATCAAAATCCCAGGAGATTGGCCAGGAGAGTATGGGGAGAGGCTGAAGGAGAAGGAGGTGTGCTGACAGATGAAGTTCTGAACTAGGCCACGGAGCCAGAGTTGGAGAGTGAGGAAGAGTGGAAAGAACCTATTGATCACCTGGTCTGCCACGCTGCCCAGCAGGCCAATCTGACAGTAGAAGACCAGACGGGACACTGAGTCTGAGCCGGAGAGTACATGAACTGACCCCATTAGCAGAGAAGGACGACCGCTACAATCTGCCGGACTACTCTGATCAGGTGAGACAGACCCATTCACCCACTGACCAAGTGAAGACTGACAGTTTGCCAGCTCAGCTATCTACTTACACATAGTTGTGAACATTACATATAGTTGCCCAAATTTGCGGCCTAGTACTCGCAGCCACCATCGTTGCGATACATATACATTACAATTTATCATACACCTGACCGCAAGACATACAGTTACAGGCCAGGATACAGCAGTGCAAACTGAAACAGCAAGCTTCCCTTCTTCAACAAAGACAGATTCCTTTTACTGTTTTGTGCCTTTGATATTCAGAGAGGGAGTTGTCTTTGTCCATAGACACTTATGCCAATTGTTGCCATTCATTACTTCAGGCCTGCCCTATGTTTAGTGCTTTAAAGGAGACCCCACCCTGATTTGCTACCATCAAGAGGAAAAGTGTTAAATCTACCTTGCTCCCTCACTATCTTTGTGTTACCACCCTAAGGAACTATATTCATATCAACTGGGCCCCAACAAGCTCACAGAAGACACTGTAGTGTTCTTAATGGGATAGTGCTCAATTTCAAATGAGAATTCTCTTTCCTTCACATTTAACCCTTGTCATCTAGTTCTGGGGACCCACAGTGAGCTTACTTGTATTTGAAAGTTGTTCTTGTTCACTGGGGATTAAGTAGTCCCCTCAGTTTGGAGGCAGTGAATTATTTCTGAAAGTAGGCCTGCCAACAGTTATTGTTGCTTTACTAAGAATGTCTTTACTTTTGTTCACAATACTAAGAGTGATTATATTTGTTACATATATCAGTGTCATTTTGTTTTGTTTGACCAAATCACCTTTAATTCCAATATAAAGGTCATATACTAAGTAATGTGTGAGACCTTTTTACAGTTGTGATTTATTTTGGTCACGAGAGCACGGTGGTGTCAGCAGTGGTTGGGCTTTCAACAGGAGGCTCAGATTAACAGGGAACCCAAAAATTACTAACAGCTACACACAGAACAATCATATTAAATCAGCAAGTCCATTCTTTTTGTGGTTTGAAGATCATTTCAGTTCATAATCATAATGCATAGTTTCACAATATAGCATGTTGTATCTTCAAAAAAAAATGTAAATATGTATGCAATAATTTCCAAAAAGATCTGATATCATCTAATATCTTAGATACATTAACACAGAACAAGAAGTAGCTCATGGGAGGATAGCATTTTTTGTAAGACTAAATTTAAGATGCCCATGCACACCACGATTTACAGTAGTTCACAATCAAACAGTACATGTAGGTCAGCTTGTTAAACACATCTCATGTGGACTAAATTTAAGATACCCATGCACACTAAGATTTAAAGTAGTTTCCCAATCAAATAGTGCATGTAGGTCAGCATGTTAGATATATCTCATATGCACATTATTCCTCCTGCAACTAAAAAAGCCCAGTTGATATCCACTTATTATTAATATGATATATATACAGTATATATATATATATATATATATATATATATAAAAATCTCACAGAAGTGAGTACACCCCTCACATTTTTGTAAACATTTTATTATAGCTTTTCATTTGACAACACTGGAGAAATGACACTTTGATACAATGTAAAGTAGCGAGTGTACAGCTTGTACAGTATAACAGTGTAAATTTGCTGTTCACCAGAGCTTCACAGGTTGCCACTGGAGTCCTCTTCCACTCCTCCATGACGACATCACAGAGCTGGTGGATGTTAGAGACCTTGCGCTCCTCCACCTTCCATTTGAGGTTGCCCCACAGATGCTCAATAGGGTTTAGGTCTGGAGACATGCTTGGCTAGTCCATCACCTTTACCCTCAGCTTCTTTAGCAAGGCAGTGGTTGTCATGGAGGTGTGTTTGGGGTCGTTATCATATTGGAATACTGCCCTGTGGCCAAGGGAGGGGATAATGTTCTGCTTCAGTATGTCACAGTACATCTTGGTCTCATCAGACCACAGGACACGGTTCCAGTAATCCATGTCCTTAGTCTGCTTGTCTTCAGCAAACTGTTTGCGGGCTTTCTGGTGGCTCATCTTTAGAAGAGGCTTCCTTCTGGGATGACAGCCATGCAGACCAATTTGATGCAGTGTGCGGCGTATGGTCTGAGCACTGACAGGCTGATCCCCCACCCCTTCAACCTCTGCAGCAATGCTGGCAGCACTCATACGTTTATTTCCCAAAAACAACCTCTGGATATGACACTGAGCATGTGCACTCAACTTTTGGTCAACCATGGCGAGGCCTGTTCTGAGTGGAACCTGTCCTGTTAAACCGTTGTATGGTCTTGGCCACATGCTGCAGCTCAGTTTCAGGGTCTTGACAATCTTCTTATAGCCTAGGCCATCTTTAAGTAGAGCAACAATTCTTTTTTTCAGATCCTCAGAGAGTTCTTTGCCATGAGGTGCCATGTTGAACTTCCA